CGGTTCACGATCAAGGGATTCAACATCGGTCGTCTATCCTAACCACTTCCCATTTACCCTTGATCTTCCTCCTATTTACGGGCCATGTCACTCTAGGAAATCTATAAATAGACCCCTCCTCCCTCTTGAAAGGAGATCCAAGCAAGAGAGCAAGAGAGAGAACGGAGATCGCTCTTGCCTCCTCGCTCCTCCTTGACCATCGCCTGGAGTTCCACCGGGCCACCACTTAAGGCCCTGAGCTCGACCGAACCACCACTTGAGGCCCTGAGTTTCACCAGACCACCACTTGAGGCCCTGAGTTCGCCCGGACCACTACTTGAGGCTCTGAGCTCCCCTGGACCACCACTTGAGGCCAGAGCTCCACCGAACATCCACCTTAGGCCCGGAGTTCTGCCGGACCACCACCTGTCACCCGGAGTTTTTCCAGACCACCACCTGACGCCCAGAGTTCTGTCGGACCATCACCTGATGCCCAGAGTTCTGTCAGATCACCACGTGAGGCCCAGAGTTCTGCCAGACCACCAGCTGAGGCTCGGAGTTCTGCCGAACCGCCACTTGACGCCCGGAGTTCTGCCGAACCACCACCTGACGCTCGGAGTTCTATCAGACCACCACCTGATGCCCAAACTTTTGCCGGACCACCACCTGAGGCTCAGACTTCTGCCAGACCACCCCTTGAGGCCGAACTTCTACCGGACCACCACATGACACCCGGACTCTATCGGACCACCACCTGAGGCCTATAGTTCTACCAGAGTACCGCCCTACTACTACGGTCCTTCTGACCTCTATCGCCAAACAATGATCTTTCTAACCACGGTCTCTTGCCAACTACGGTCCTTCCGATCTCCTTCGCCTACTACGTTTATTCTGATCTCCATCGCTAGACAACGGTCTTTCTAACCTCAATCTCCTACCGATTACGATCCTTCCGACCTCTGTCGCCTACTACGATCCTTCCGACCTCCCTCACTAGACAGCGGTCTTTCTACTCTGTCTCCTGCCAACTATGATCCTTACGACCTCCATCGCTTACTACGGTCTTTCCGACCTCCATTGCCAGACAACAATCTTTCCGACCCCAGTCTCCTATCGACTATGGTCCTTTCGACCTCCGTCGCCTACTACGGTCCTTCCGACCTCTCTCGCTAGACAACGGTCTTTCTGACCCCAGTCTCATGCTAACTACGGTCCTTCCGATCTTCTATTGACTACGGTCCTTCCAACCTCCATCGCCAGACAATGGTCTTTCTGACCTTGGTCTTCTGCCGACTATGGTCCTTCCGACCTCCCTCGCCACACAACTGTCTTTCTGACCCCTATCTCCGGCCGACTACGGTCCTTCCGACCTTCGTCGCATACTACGGTCTTTCCGATCTCTATCCTATCGACTATGGTCCTATAGACCAAACAAATGTCTATGTTGATTATTGTAACTCCCACCATGTAATGTGCTCTATATAATGTATATTTATGACATCAAGCCAATGCCTTCTCCCAAGGAAGGGCCTCGTTTGTAATCGACAGCAAATACTAGTGAATTCATTCAAACTGGGCCAGGCCTCATGGTTTTCCCCCTTTTCAGGGGTTTCCACGTAAAAACCCTTGTGTCTCTTATGGACGCTACGTTATCTCTTTCATCTGCTTGTGTACTGGATCTTCGTATAATGTGAAGACGTTAAACTATATATATCTCTACCACCGCGAATATTTCAGGACGCAACAATTTTATTTTTTTTCTTATAAGGAATTGATGACAAATTATTCTACACTCTACAGACAATTATGCAATATATTTCTTGTTGAGAAAAAACCATTGGATATTATGGTCATCCATGATGTGATATTTTATATCATAAATGGAGTCATACGAAAGTTGAGTAAGGTCAGACACATTCCTGTCCTGAGAAAACCTTAATTTTTATTATAGGACAGCTTGCAATAAAAGAATGTAAATCCACATTCAATATTGGCACCTATAAGGTAACCAAAGGAGCCATTGTGATTGTTTGAGAAAATAAAAGTGATATACGCAACACAACCCTAAGTATAGAAATAGTGGGAGTTACGGTATATTTGAATATAGATAATAATATTTGGGATCAAAGATAATGCCATAGGAGTGATAAGGGCCTAAAGATTCTTCTTTCTTAATTTCTAATTTAAAATCTATTGAATCTAGCTTTTGTGAAAATTATATTTTAGGAAAATAAAGAAGAGTTAGTTTTTTAAAACTGAAAGAGAAAATAAAACCAATATGCTGAAATTGGTTCTTGTAGATGTCTAGAGGCCATCCTTTATCCCATTTTTGGGTAGTTCAATATGTTATGTCACGTTCATAGGCAATGATCGACTTTGAAAGCTATGAGTTTATTTTTTCAAAAATAATCTCGTGTGTTTAATTACTTTGTATCATGAAAAAGCTTAGATGAAAATGAGATTGGTGTAAAAATTCTATGCACTGATTTAATAATGGAGGAGACTAATGGCATAGAGTTCAGCAATTATTACATTGTTAATAAGATTCGTATGGAAGGAATAGTCTCCCATCAACTCCCCAATAGATTGGAGTCACTAAAAAAATGAATGCGACTTTAAATAAAAGGGATAGAAGCATGAGATTACATGCAAGACTGTCAAAATACTTTGGGTGGATGCAATAAATACAACTTACCTTTTCATTCGAGTGGTCCAGGTTAAATTTTGAGAAGGTAAATTAGACTTAATATAAGGCATTACCCAAAGATTTAGCCTTCATTTCAAGCCTTTATAATCTGATTCTAGGTTTCCCATAGCTGCAAGCTATTATGGTTAATTACCTCTCACGGTTATGAGAGAGAACTTTTAGTTAAATTTTGTTGTTAAATATTCACTAAGCATTGAGTGTATATTAGCAACAAATTTGGTAGTTGAAGTTTAGACTTAAAGTAGATGATGGGGGAATGATAAAGAAGTTGATCAAGATCTCATAGTTTTATCATCTTGGATTGTTATAGCTCTTGGTTTATTTATTTCGCGGTGGTAGTCAACCCAACCCAATTCAAAGATCATTGTTAGCAACCATGAGTTTCCTCGACTTTAGTTCACTTGAGGATTCATTACTTGAGAGTTTTTCATTGGGAAATTTGTGGGCTTGTTAATTACCATAATTTCATTTTACAGTAAAGTCACCTAGTTAGAGAGCCCTGATCATAATCAATTACATGACGTGCCATTTGATAATAAAACTATCAGTTAAAAGACACGTGTCACATCAATGAATCCTAACAACACACATAACAAGACATTAGCTATTTAAAAACTTAATAATTGTTTCAAAATTTATCACCCTCGACAAATTATGTTGATTCTCGATGAATTTTGCTTTAAGTTTATGGGTGGTTGATTTCGCTTGAAATAATTTTAAATTTTAACTAATATTAAGTTCTTAAAAGATTAACTTTGAAATTTGAGCGATGGCTTTGGGGGGGGGGGGGGGTGGGGGGGGGGGGGGGTGTTTGAGTAGGTGATTCTGAGGGCAAGGCCCCTTCTGGCTCATATTTTGTATCAACATGGACATTATTGGAGTTTTTTAAATGATTTTGTTATACTATTTGAACCTTATCAGCTCTGGTTGCTTATTACTATAACATTTGAGTTTGTTGTTTTTTTTAGTCACCACATTGGTCAAGTGACTTTCAAAGTTTTAATTTTAAAAACTTCTTTTTCAAAAGGCATTGGAGGCCTAATATAGATGTAGAATGAAATATCTTATCAATTTGAATTTTTCATGTGGGGTTATTTATCATATAGTTTAAGTTTCGTCAACTCTAATCCTTGTTAAGGAGTAGACTTGAAATGAGAAACTTATGACCTTGCCCTATGGGCAATAAGGCAATGTTATGAGCATTATGACTCTCAATGTTATGAACTTGAATTTTTCATGTGGGAATCTCCTGCTTGGGTTTGGGTGCTTAAGAGAAATAAGTACGGATCTCTCTTCTCTCTCACTCTCTCCATACATCTCTTGTCACTTACACTGTTCTCACACACTAAACAAAATAGATAAGTCTCAAGATGCTACCAAAGGATACCACCCTTGAGAAAAACGAGAAGAGAATTGTCCAGTCCACCTCGAAGTGCTACAGTGCCCGTTTGGAGCATTATGACTCTCAATACTCTACCTCTAGTCTGTCTGATAGTGTTGCGACATTGAATTTAGAGCGCTGTGTTGCTCCGCTCTTTTGTCTTTTCTTCCAAAAAACTTTGCAACGCTAGGGCGCTCGGGTGCATAGTGCAGGGACGCTCGGGTGCACAATGCTGGGATGCTCAAGTGCACATCGTCGAGGCATTGCATAAAAAAAATACAAATAAATAATGTAGTATGACTATATAAATCTAATTTTATAATGTGAATTTTATATAAAATTTATAGGTGTAAATTATACCTAAATATATAATATAAATTAGTTATTATTTATATTAAATTTATATATTTATTTATAAACTAAATTTCTATTAAATATAAATTAAAATCAAAGATTAAATTTTTAAATTAGTAATTATTTATATTTAAATATATAATATAATTAATAATTATTTACATTTAAATTTAAAATTATGGAATATATTATTTATGTGTAAATTTTATTTATTTTTTAGTCTCAAAATTCTTAGAATTAAGAAGCTTTTAAGATTAGATTGTCATATTATTATGTTAATTTTATTAATATTTAATAATATTATTATATATTATGTCATCCAGTTCGACCCCGATTAGAACCGTGAACCTCTACTTCTTTCGGTTCGTTGTTTGGTCCAATTTTTGCAACCTTGGGATGTACCTAAGTTTTGTGTAACGTGGTGTTGAAAATTTTTATGAGAAAAGTGTTATTACCCCTGAATTGCTTCTATTATTTTTCCAAGTTTGGTTTCCAACACATCAAAATTTTATGGCTGATTTATTTTCTTCAGTTATCTACTTCACTTAATTTTGCATTCACTTATATAATGTTTCCCAGCTTGCCAGGAAAGGTTTATGAACGTAATGAGCCCATCTGGTTGAACAATGCACAACTTTCAGAAAACATTTGTTTTTGTCGCTCCCTTTTAGCTAAGGTTAGATCATTGCTGAGGTTTTCACTAATTCTCCCTTTGGTTTATCATGAATGAGAAAACTGATCATTTGATTCTTTTAATTGCATATGGATCGGCCGCAAAAATGGATTTGCAACTTATGTTGCCTCAGAATGCATCCATTAAGGTATGGATGGAGGACTATATTGTAATGTATACTGTTCTTATATCAGTCCATGGTAATCAATATAAGTGCCAACTAAAATATGCAATCGGCAAAGTGAATGCATTCGTGATCACAAATACAGTGTTAAAGTTGCTTCTATTGAATAATTTATGTAAGATTATCATCTCTAAAAAGTTAAAACACTCATTTATCTTATTTAAAAAATCACAGTTCAGCCATGGGCAGACAACAACAATAACAACATCAAGCCTTTGTCCCACTACGTGAGGTCGGCTACATGAATCCTTTTTCTTCATTGTGTCATGTTAAAAGTCAAATTCTTGTTTAAATCTAATAAAGAAAGATCATTTCTAATATTTTCTAATCAAGTCTTTTTAGGTCTACGCTACCTTTCTTAACATAAGTCAAATCTAATAACTCTACTTTCCTAACCGGGTCATCAGAAGACCGCCGTTTTATGTGACCAAATCATCTAATGCAACTCTCTCTAATCTTATCTTCCATTGGCACTACTCCAACCTTTTCACATATATGCTCATTTCGTATCCTATTTCTACGGGTAAAACCATTCATCCACTTGAGCATCCTCATCTCTGCAATACTTAACTTAGTATTATGCTTCTCTTTTAATGGCCAGCATTCGGCACCATATACGGTAGATAAATTATTTACGGGCAGAAAGAATGGAAGGAATGTTAAATAATTGTTTTATATGCTTTTATGATGAGTAATTGTTTCCTTTATACCACAACATCAAGCCTTTATCCCACTACGTGGGGGTCGGCTACATCAATCCTTTTTCTCCATTGTGTCATATTCTCCTATTAAGAGTCAAAATCTCAAACAGTTTCTTTTATGCTGCATATTAATTTTAGCCTATTGATCCCTTTTGGTTACAGAACTACTTAAAAGATTTATAAAATAAAATTTTTTGTGCTAATAGGTAACATCAACTACTTTCTGTATGCCTTATGCTGATGTTTTTCGTCTATAACTGTATTCAATGTTGCCTTCATTTATATTTTGTCAATTTCAGACTGTTTTGTGCCTTCCCTTCATGGATGGTGTACTAGAGCTTGGAACATCGGAGCTGGTAAAATATTTTTTACTCGGGCTTGATAATGCTAGTTGACTATCTTTGGTTTCCTCATAGTTTCATCCCCTTCCATTTTGTTCTTTTGTTAACTGGGTATATTCTCAAGGTCTTGGAAGATCCCGGTTTAGTACACAGCATTACAAATTCTTTCTGGGAGTTTGAAGTTCCAGGTTTCTCTGAGCATTCCACTTTGAGTTCTCCTTTAGAAGAGGAGGACAATGTTTGCTTGATTTCAGATCATGAAGTTCTTGACACCATATTTCCTTCTTCTGTCGATTCCTATGCTTCCAATAAAAACAGTGAGCTAATCCATGACAATGATAACATGAATCATCAAAGTATTTATAAGGAAATGATTGATATTCCTGAAGACTGCTCCATTTGTGCTGATCCTTTAAACATCAAGAGACTAACTGAGCCATCACAAGTTCATATAAGGCATTTGATGGCTGATGAGTTCGGCAATGGCCTGAATAGTTCTTTGAACTTCAGTGAATGTGTGTCGTCATCTTTTGCTCAAAAAATCCTTTCTTCTCTCAAGGGCAAAGGGGTAAAAAGTAACTTGTTTGACCATCCCCAAGAAGATGATCATTCAAAAATTGGTTCCTTAGGAATTGAGGAAGATGACTCTCATAATGTTAGCACTATTTATACCATACCAGGGAACTTGAATCAGGGAATATTATCAACTGGCTTTCCTTTTCAGAATGGTCCTCATGGTTCAAGCTTCAAGGTTTGGGAAAGAGGTCCAACGACTTCAGAAATATTCATCAAGATTCCGCAGAGAATGTTGAAGAAGCTTTTATTTGATAGCAACTGGATGAATGGTGGTCAGTCAATGCAACCCCATGAAGAGAATATGCCCAGGAATAAAGCTTTTAAATCAGAAGCAGATGATGTTAATTCAAATCATGTTTTATCAGAGAGGAGAAGGAGAGAGAAGCTGAATGAGAAGTTCCTCATTCTCAGATCACTGGTTCCTTCTATCAGCAAGGTATATATATCTAATATGGTCATGCTTAGCATTCATAACATTGCCTGGTATTCTAATAGAGATCCGTTTTTAAAAAACTTATACGGTAAAGGGAGGAGCATTTTCGGTCAGAAATGTTTCTAATGGCATATACCTATACATCTTATTTACAACAATTTGATTATGTTTCTAACTGCATTGAGGTGCTTATCTTTTTGAAACAAGATTTCATTGTATATTCTGTTGAATTTGGGGCCATGGAAAGTAAAAACTTATCTACAAAATAAATTATTGGAGGTATAGAAAAACTTATCAAAAAAGTTAAAGAAATTATACTAAAAATGCTTTTAGGGTGCTAGCTTTTCTAAGTTTTGGTGATGCTCAATGTTTACATGTTATCCAAACCAAGTTGTTTTATAATGGAGAAAAAAATTTATGTAGTTGACTCCACATAATAGGATAAAGACTTGTTGTTGTAGTATCTAGACGAACTAGTTTAATTTCATGATAGGCAAACTACCTAAAACCAACCAAGAAATTTCATGTGTGTATTTATAAAATAATAATAATAATAATAATAATAAAATTATTTTGATCGAAGGAGACAAATCCAATGAAACCAAATTTAGTCCAATACGAGTTCAAATTAAATGATCAAAGCATTCTTGGAAGTTTCTGAGTATTAATTGGATGAGCAAATAATATCCAAATATGACATGCTTATAGTTGAATCCAGCGGCTCGACGAGACGAATCAAAAAGTCCAAGATCACTCAGTTTTGACATCATTAAGACATCTAAATGCTTGATAAACATTCTATGATCAAGGAAATTAATACCAGCCAACAACCGTCCAATGGAATACTTCCAACCTACTCTTGGTCTTGTCTTCTCCATTATTATTAAAGCTGATTCCCTTTGAAATGAGTTGCTTGCTCTAATAGTACAAAATATAAAATTTCATTTAACATTTAAGTAAATCTCTGTAAATTCTTGTAATGTCCTTAGGTTGACAAAGCCTCCATACTTGCTGACACAATTGAATATCTTAAAGAGCTTGAGAAAAGAGTAGAAGAGCTGGAATTTTGCAGAGAAGAGTTACATCATGACATGAGAGAACGAAGGAAGCATCCAGATATCATAGAGAGGACATCAGATAATTATGGCAGCAATGAGCTCATAAGTTGCCCGAAACCTTCAACAACTAAGAGAAAAGCTTGTGAGATTAATGATTCAGAAGCCGAACACCAGTTGCTCTCATCAACGAATGTGGTTACTGATATAAATGTCACCATGATAGGCAAAGAAGCGCTTATAGAGCTACACTGTCCATGGAGAGATTTCTTGCTTCTTGACATAATTGAAGCCATGAGCAACCTCCATTTAGATGCTCACTCAGTTCGGTCATCAACAGTTGATTCTACTGCTGCAATTGCATTGAGAGCCAAGGTCTGCATCAATGAAATTTAATTAATAAATCTTGTTGATATTGATGAGAATGCTGATGTACTTTTAAAATATGGTGCAGTTTATGAGCACAACAATGGCTTCTCCAGGGATGATAAAGAGATCACTTCAGAGAGTTATTGGCAAAGAACATATCAATTTGTAAGCTTCCTACTCATAATATGGTAGTTATCTTTTTGATGCAACAACAATGTTATAGGCAAGAAGTATTGTTCTTCTTAGTTTTACTTGTTCTTTATAATGTTCATTAGGGTGAATTCAAGAAAAAAGGAAAATTTGAACTATTTCTTGAGAGCTTTTATTTTTATTTTAGTAGTTTTTTTACAGCCTGAATGGTTTTATTTCTTATTAACTGTTTCTTAATAACTAGTTCTTAATATGGAAAATTGTACAATATCGATCTTTTGAATTTTGTATGCTTATGATCAAAATGTGCTTCTTGATAAGAGGAATCCGATGAGTTAAAGATTATTCAATTTTGATATGATTAATGCACTTAAATGCCTAATGAATTGTTTGGGATCAAGAGAATCAATATGGGCTATTTGGAGTATTTTTTTGAGGTTTTGTCTAGAATTATTAAATTTTCATCTCAAAAAATTATAAATAGATTTTCATTTTTCACATGAGAGGGGCCTAAAATGGGTGAGTAATTAGAGAACTAAAAAAAAAATCCAAAGCTCTATCTAACAAGTGATGTCGGCAATAACTATCATCAATTGCTAACAGTAGACCATCATTATCCCAATCGTAAGACTATCATCACACACCTAACCATTGTAGTTCAATTGTCATTATTAGATTGTTATTGATTAAATGTTATTACCCTTACCATTATCACCTGATATCAGTCAACGATATTATTATCTACTAAATGTCATTTATCTCTTGGTTATTGTCATCATCCTTCATTGCTCACCGACGCTCACTACTTCTGCTATAAGGGTCTTGGGGAAGGCCCCAAGGTCATAAGGGATCAAGCCTGCTTGTCATTATAATTTATAGTGGATTGATCCCCTGGCTTTTCTCCTTCTCAAAATTTTCTCGTAAAATTTTGTCTCCTACAACCTTTTCTTTATATGCTAAAATTTTATCAAAAATGAAGATATTAAACACATTTTCTAGCATATAATAAGGGTAAATGCATTTATTTTAAATGAGTCTAATCTTACTTGCTTGAACATAAACATTTGATGTCACTATAACAAGTAGTTTGAAGTGGTTATATTGATTGTCTAATATTATGTTGTTAGAGCAGGGAAGAGTGACCATTACTATTTATCTCCATAGGTGTTTTATGGAGGAGTGGCCATATATGAGTTGTTGGGAGGTTAGATGACTGACATCCTCCAAGCAATAATCTTTGAGAATTGCTATTGTGCTCTCCAAAATATAATCTATTGGCACTGCGACGCTCATCTCTCTGTTTAGATAGTAAAAATTTTTTGGGGGTCATACAATGTTGCCATTTAGTGCTAGTCTCTCTATTTTTCAGAATGGTAGTCATTTCTTTGGAGCGTTGCAGCACTGAATCTTTCTTAGCGCCAGGGTGTGCTTAGAAAATATTTTTTTATATATATAAATATCAAAATTCATCACCAAACTCATTTGAATGCATCTAATCTCCTTGATAGAGAGAGAAAGAATGAGATTTTAGAGAGAGAGTTGATTTCATTGGCCATTCTCATCCGTCAAACCAATTGAGAAAGTTATTCGTTTTGAGGTAGGTTATTTTTACCTTACATTAGTTTTTAATAATATTGTCGTTTGTGAGATTTTTTTTTATTTAATTTGGTTAAACTTCACAAAAAATCAAGTATCTTGATATCTTGAAAATTTTCACTATGTAAATTTTAATATATCGTTGTTCAAGTTCTTCTGCACGTGTGAAATGCTTGGGAGGTATAAAAGTCTGATATTATATATGATTAAGGAAAACGACATAGCTAATGAACTCATGAAAGTAAAGAATAAGGATAAAATAACTTCATAAATTGATTAAATCAGGTTTCTAATATTAAAAAAGAAAATTTCTTAAACTACTTTTGCTTTTAAGTATTCAACTCAAAGCCAACACTTGCACATAAATAAAATATTATTAAATAGAAAGATTTTTATAGAAGATTTGGCAGAGTATTTGCCCTCGAGTCGATAAGAAGCCTGGACCGTGGTCTCCAAAATAGTAGGAGTTTTAGCCCATGGTTGTCACCGGGCTCTAAGATTTCCCTCCTAAAGCCATTCGCTTTGCACAAATTTAGAAGGAAAGCTACCGCACGATGCAATTCTTGCCAAGTAAGTTAGTTTTCGATGGAAGAAGATAGAAAGTCCTTTTTCTTTTTGATCATTAATTAAATAATTAACAACCTTCGCCAGCAGCGACGTTGAAGTAGAGATCGACAATGTTGGGCAGTTCAGGAAACATTCCGACGAGCGACTCGGCGCCCATGAACCGCCGATCGAGCAGTGAATCCAAAGCTCTTGACTGTAGAATGGAATGCACGGGTCGATCTCGACCCACTTGTCATAACAGTGGCTTAAAATCGAAGGTCTGGCACGTGTATGCCTTTTCACCTAGCTCTGCCCCTCGCACGTCTTTCTCAAGAAGGCAACGCAAGTGTTAACCTCCCTTTTTCTTAAACCCTTGGTCAAAGGAGTTTGACCTGGTCAAATTGATCAAGCCAGGCCCCAAGGCCACCCCCATTGTGTTCACTAGGTCAAATAAAATTTGCTGAGCTCAAACCCAGGCTCTGGGTCAACCTGGGGGTTGACGTAGATTGACCCATACACTCTCCCTTTTTATTTTAAATCAAATTTAAACTCCCTTAGCCCAATTCTCTCCTCCACTGAACTCAGTTGGTCAGAACCAACCAATTGGGCCCAGACATGTGCTCTGGTTCAACTTGGTTGACCAGGTCAACCCAGGTTGACCCATTAGGCCCTATTGGATTAATTCAAGCTCTATTCCAATTAAAACCTACCCTTGGCTCAATCCACTCATCCCTTGGACTCATTTGACCAAATTGACCAGGTCAACTCATGGCTTGGTCAATCAAAGCCTTGGTTGGTCAAACCTAGCCTACTTTGGTTAAATTAAACCTATTAAAGCATTTAAACCATTCCTTTTGGCTCCCTCATTCAAACCATGGCCAAATGACCCATAATCCCCTCCTAATTAGCTCTAGATTCAATCTCAACCCTTGATCATGAGTCTAAGGCTTTAAATAGAGAGAATTAAGGTTTCATAGAGGACTTTTTGCTCGTTCTATCTCCCTAGACCTCCTCAGCTCTTGTGAGAGAGCTCCCACGACCTCCTCCACCCTTCCCAACCTAAATCCACTGTTGAACACTCGCAGGCAGTGAGATCTTCGACGAACTGAGGGAAAACGCGTTCAAAGCAATTTCGCCATCGATCCATAGGGTTTCAGGCCACGATTTCTTCTACAAGTAGAAGCGTGGACAATCTACAAGTGCAACAAGCCCTTATACGATTTAAACCGTCCACAAACCAAGATGAAAACTCAAACCCTAACCTAAGTCACGTAGGGTTAAATAGCTTTCTTTGTAGTGTGTTTTAGATTGCAAAATTACCCCCCCCCCCCCCCCCCCCACCCCCCCCCCGAATGCTCTTCACTTATTTTATTCATGTTTAAAATTTTGTGTTGTTTGGTTAACTCGTTCGAGAGAACGAGTTAAAAAGTGATATAGGGATTCGGGTTTGGGCACTCATTCGCAAGGATCCGGACCGTTGATCTCGCGATCAACAATCGGGATTGGGCCGTTTCGCAGTTTATAGGTTATAATTCTAACATTTTTTTATTTTTTTAGGTTTCTCAAAATCAAATTGGATTCATGCCGGGTAGGTTTACTATGGAAGCCATACATTTATTGAGAGGTTTGATGGAGAAATATAGAGAGAATAAGGAGAATCTACATATGGTATTTATTGATTTAGAGAAAGCATATGATCAAGTTCCAAGAGAAGTGCTATAGAGAGTTCTTGAAAAGAAAGGAGTTAATAATGCTTATATTCAAATCATTAAAGATATATATGCAGAAGCTATTACTTGTATTCAAGCACAAGGTGGCTTGACCAAGTATTTTCCTATTTTGGTTCAATTATATCAAAGATCAGCCTTAAGTCCATATCTTTTTGCTTTAGTCATGGATACTCTCACTAGACATTTTAAAGAGGATGTACCTTGGTGCATGCTTTTTGCTGAGGATATTCTTCTTGTTGATAAGACTAGAGAGGGAGATGAAGGTATACTCAAATTATGGAGGTCAACTTTTGAGTCTAAAGGTTTTCGCTTGAGTAGATCTAAAATTGAATATATGGAGTGTAATTTTAGTAGCAATAGACCTAGTGATGGGATTGTGACTTTGGGCGATCAAGTCATCAATAAGAGTACACATTTTAGATATCTTGGATAAATTGTTCAGAGTGATGGTGAAATCGATGGGGATATTATCAGCAAAATTCAAGTTTGATGGTTAAAGTGGAGGAATGCATCGGGCTTATTGTGCGATAGAAAAGTCCCTCTCAAACTTAAGGGAAAATTCTATAAGATGGTGGTGAGACCTGCAATTCTTTATGGTGCCGAATGTTGGCCAGTAAAAGAGAAGCATAATGTCACGACCCAACCCGACCGGAATAGATCCCGCTCACATCGGGCCGCGACGGAACTTGAAACTTGAAATTCAGGATCTAGTTTTGGGACTTGCTTCAGAACTTTTTTCCAAATGTAAAAACAAACAGAAACACATAGCTGCTATAAACTTCCAAATATACAGAACAGTTCATCTATATTTCTTTCATCAAAATAATCATGTACAATACAGTTCATGACTTACAAACAGAAAGAACAGAATAGAAAAGTCATGACTGTACAAAAATCAAAAGTACAAAATACCTAATCACTGATCAGACACAGAACTTCTAGTCCAAGACTTACTTCCCTTTTCCAGAACCTGAAAACCACGTAGAAAATAAGGATAAGCTAACAGCTCAGCAAGACTACACTCACCAATCAAAATCTCCAAAAATTCACATCGTGAAAATACATCAGAAGCAGATATTCCAATAGCCGTACAAAAATCGTATAGAAATCATATAGTCATCAGCATACAGACACTTGCTCAAATAGAAGTCAAATCACTGATATAGAAAAATGGAATTCACTTCATAAACAGAAATCGTACAGAGCAAACAGAATCGTACAAAACAAACAGAATCGTACAGAACAAACAGAATCGTACAGAACAAACAGAATTTTACAGAACAGATTTCAAATCAGATAAAATCACATT